CCTGCATCGAGCCGATTTGTAGAGTCATTGCGCCAACGTTATCGCACGTTTCGTCGAGTTGGTCCTTAATGTATAGCATTTTACGTTTCAAGGTCAATGCGGGGCCTAAAGTAGGCAGCAGGGAACCCTTGCTGACTGCCAACGCTTTCTGTTGCTCCGAATTAGGACCGTCGGTTACGCGTAGCATGTACTTACCTTTCGTACACTGTTGTCCAAAAGAACCATTCCTCTCAACGTCGCCATGAACTTATATCCGTTTATGATGGGAATACAGACGAAGCCAACGCTGATCTCCACAATATCTCCCAAACCAAAAGTGGCTGGATTGATAACGAAATATCTTTGATGCATAAGTGAATTGACATAGGATTGAAAGGTGATTTAAGACGTACTCGTCATTCCCTTTTGCATCCTTCCTCAACGAGGTGTATTCAACTATGTTGTCGCAACTGTGAATAAATGTTTGCGATCGCAATTTGTCCAATGCGCCGTATGGATCGACCATGGGAAGAAAAGGCTGGTGTTCTTGTTGAGGTGCAAGCCTTCTGTCGGTGAAATATCTGTTGTGAGCATACAGTGCTACTGTGCCCTCGTATTCTCCGCGTTGAAAAGATCCCAAAGTGTTGACCGGCAACGCTAGTTCGAATTTTTGATGAATTTTTTCTACCGTTCGAATGATAGATCCAAAGATGTCTTCTCCGAGACCGGTAACTTGAACTGCTTGACGAAGACCTCTAATCTTTTTAACATGAGTCTCAGCACTGTTTGTATTGAGAATATCAGTCGATAACATTGTACAGTTTTTGTCTCGTCACTTGCATTATTTCTTTGAGTGGCGGCAATTCAGTTGCGCACAAAATGCCTTGAAGTCGTACGATAACCTCTTGCATACTATCGGATTTCTCGTCGAATTTGCAAAGACGGTACGTGTCTGGCCTTGTGTACGCCACGATTTCGAGTTTATCAATCTATGGGTACAGTTATGTCTGTGTCGTGATTTAATCTTGATTGACGGTTGTTACTCACGTCGACTTCAAGCAGTTGCTGGCAATCGGTACCGATGTCGCATCTACCTCTGGCCTCTGTATACCGGATAAGATCTTCCACTGTATTTTTTTTCAACGGTAGATATTTTCAAGAAGAACGGGAACATACTGGCTTGGGTTTTGTTGTAACGAGCGTCCATAGCGCGAGAAGAGACTAATTTCTTTACAACGGACAAGGTCCAAGGTTACTGATCCTTTTTAGTACGTCGATCCACTTGGCAAAACTTTATGCGATGTCTCGGCGTTTACCACAGAAACCAATACAATTTTATTGCTATCCCACAAGAATGAATAGAAAATTTTCATTCGGTGAAGTCAATAGAAAGGTTTTAGCGATCGAGAATAACAGTACCACATACACAATTCGAGCAGAGACTGAGGTTGTCGTACCCTTTCTGCGAATATCTTTTATCCGAATATCGTGGTATAAAATGTGGGATTGAACAAACTTTCACCGACGTCCCTTTTCCCTCATTGAGTTTTTGCTGCCTATCATGCCTCCAAAGTCTCCTCAGAAGCGAAGGCCGGTTCCCGTTAAACGGTCAGCAAACTTATTAAAGCTTCTTTCATTACGCAGTATTTCATCATGTTATAGAGAACCTGTCGATGCTGCAACGGAAGAATCGAAGTAAGCGTTCACGTTCACTCCTTTAGAATGAATGCTCGATACCTCTTTTAGTTTAATAGAATGGTCTCAGTGAGAATCTGCTCCCTTGAAGCTATGCGTATTCAACTGATGTTTTGCTAGGTCGCCTCCCCTGACTATACTTGTCAAGCCTACACTGAGGCTTAGTTCTTCGCGGAGTTCACGGTCTAATGCAATCAAGCCGATTAAAAAGTGACTGTAGTGCACCTTTACCGCAATTTTCTAAGCTGACGAACCTCTGATAGCGATATTATTGAAGTCACTTCATCCGAAGGAGAACAAAAGTACGTACTTGGCTTCTTGCACTTTACTTTGTCTAAGGGCCTTATCTGGATAGAACACCGGAACTAGATCCAGACGATAGTATGTTTCGGGGACAGACAATGAAGTCTAGAATTCAATCTTCCAAGAAACCTATTCCGGATGATACACCTGTAAGGACCAGAAGCGCATTCGGCATGTACGTCGTTATCATCCTTTTTCTTGCCACGGCCGTTCAAGTTGATGTCATTCTGTATAGATATAAAAAGCGCGTATTGGATCCAGAGGGAAATTTTGTTGTCAACCCAGAGACTCCGTGAGTTCCACCGGTTAAGTTCCTTTGCGATAATCTACTTACCTCCGATTCAAGCTCCAAGAAAACCAAGATGTCTTCAGCTTCAAATGAAAATAGCGACGACGACGTGTGAGTTAGATGCCTCCCTCTATTCGATGCGTTTCGTTAATATTTCCATCAGTGTAAAAACCCCTAAACGTGCCTCGTATGTTCACAGCTATCCTGCTGTATCAAGAAACTTTCTGATTATGAGGCTTCATACAGACCGTCGAAGGCTGTACGGTCACGCGTTACTGCCGTCGGCGATAAACAGTAAGTATTACGTTTACTTACTGTTTAACAATCACTTAGAATCTCTGCCTTTGTATCAGCGACATCAACTTTAATCGCGCTGGTTCGCAACAAGATGCACAAAGATCATATAAATCTCGGTATGGGTCGCTTCTAACATTGTTGCAACTTACTGATCTCCTTTTTTGTAAGATCCGCTATCAAAGATGTATCCATCGTCCAAGAAGAACTTGACGAGACAAGCTCTGAACGTGAAGCGTATGTAATTCACTTCAGCAACAACCTATGGCTAATGATATCAGTTTGGGTGGGGAGAATTGCGATTTGGATGAATACGACTTAGCCGATCCTTTCATGTGAGTACCATCTCTTTTGAATTTCTCACATAACTCATCGTTTTATAGAGACGATGAGGCCGTGTAAGCGTCTTTCTTCAGGCCCTTATCGTATTTGGCTTAACTGTACCTCAGAGGGGACGAAGATCGCGAGCAAATCGGTCGTGAACAAATTGAGTCGCCCTTAGGTCATAAAGGGAAAGCCAAAGCGCGCTTTCAGTCTCCTTTAATAGAGCAGTCGGATAACGAGTCTGACGTTGAAGAGGAAGAGGCGAGACAGATACAGTAAGTCATTTTCGAATGCGGTAGGTTGATAATACTCATTAACATTCATTCAGGATGGCAACCAAACGAAGTATCGCGGACGTCAGTCCATCGAAATCAGCATCGTTCAAATCGGGCGAGGGAAGCAGTCAATCTCACGATGTCACCAAACATCGCTCGGATAATCCTCCTAAAACATTCGCTGACATGCTTGCCGAGAAAAAGAAATCAACATCCAATGCGAACGTTGTTCATTTAAGTGATGTGGATACATTGAGGCTAACGTGAGTCTAACGTTTCAATTCATTGACATCATACGTTCCCAACTTGTTTACAATGTTAGGTCTTTGCCTGTCTCTTGTGAAGTTACCCAGATGGAACTCCAAGACGCTTACCTTGCAGACGACTACGCGTTGTTACCAAACTTAAAGTTAGTTCATTTATCTTTCTGTCTATTGATCGTTACTTAGTAACTTTTAGTCGTGGCATTCTGATCTCATGGAGCAATGCAAAAGGTCCTGGTCAAATTATGTTATCCGCTTGGGAAACTTACTGCCCTCATATGTTATTTGAGTGAGTGCTAACTTCATTTGTCGACTGTTTACCATGACCTGAAATACGCAAATTTAGTAATTGTGTTAACGCCATCCGTTTCGATTTATCTGGCCGCTATGTTAACCCATCGAGAGCGTCCCCTCTGGATGTCTCCGCATATAAAGCGACACCAGACGGAGAACGCCTACATCTTCACATAAAGAATCAGCCGGCTATCAATGTGTCCAGTGTATTCGTGACTGCATCAAATCTGCAAAATCCACCGGAACGGGGTTTACGCCAGAAATCCATCTCGGGTATACTTCATTCTCAGGAATGGGATCGTTTTTGCGGCTTCATATGTATGGCTTTCGGAAAGAAGGAGCTACATGCACAACTTGAGAAAGATTCTTTACTTTTCTCTACGAAAAGTCANGAACAGGTGGTAAGTGATAAGCGTATCACGTTTACCCTGTACTGATTGCTTTGAAGCCGGCTTTTCACCCGGTAAACAACCGTCTGGCATGTTTAACAGCAGCGTCAGTCCTTCTACGAAGCGCGGTCAGCCAAAGGTTAAGACTTCGGCTACTTTCTTCTTGGATTTTGATGCAATCAGTAAGTTTTCAGTGTTATGTTCTCGGCATAGACTGAAGTTTTTTAAAATAGTACCCGTCTACGACGGGCGGAAATTTAACTTCGAATATACAGCTCACAATCTCAACAATTTGGACAAGATCCTCGACCATTACGATGATGAAATTCCATACGGGTCTTTTGCTGTTGTTGGTTACACGACATCTGTATACAAGTCTAAAACAGGGAATTACTCTCTGAGTTGCAACATCCAGTGGGTGATTTTGATAGGTTGTCCGGAAGATTGAGTGGCGAGGGCATTTGTAGTTTCTCTCTTGTTTTAGATTTAAAAAAATATATAAAAACGGCGAAGCTGCTGGTCAGTTACCCACTACATCAGACTTCTGAGTCTCGGCAGACCTATGGTAGAAACGAACGTATTCTGAATTAATGTATTGTTGATTCTGTGTTCGAACAATGACCAAATAATGACAAATTTTGAACTGAAAAGTGGACGTCCACTTCTCAGTTTAAAATTGTCGCTTGTTTGTTCCAGGTTCTCGGACCCAGTCGTACAACTCGCAGGCTCAGGAAAAGTTTAACGTTCAAATTTTCAAAGCTCGCTACGCTCACAAGTAACATATTCGTGAGTCAACACGTTCGTCCGCTGGGCTTCCCAGTTTAGTCTTCGCTTTTTGATTTCATATAATGGGCTCGCTAGTGTCAACGATAATCTACCCTACCTTTTCTCCTTCAACGGGCCGGAGTCTCAGGCGCTTCGACCGGACCAAAACTCAAGCGATCGTCTACTGGGTTTCCCTTTCAGACAGTCATTCCGTTTTATCGGCTCCATAGAAATCCAAGTGCTTGTCTACCGGGATTCCCTGTCAGACAATCGTTTCGAACCTTCTGCTCGCTAATCCAACAAATCCTCAAAGATTGCGATGTCACAAAAAACCCTACGGAACCAAAGCAGATTCTTATTAACAATTCCGTGGGATGACGGCCGCTTTGTGCTGGAAAACGAGCTAGAGCCTCTTTTGGGCGAATTAGGAAGTATGGTGCGTTTTCATTATTTCGTGACGTGTGTGGTCGCTTATGTTATGGTTTAGCCATTCATATCAGCCCTCCAAGAGACGGAGCATACTCTGCTATCTGCCAACCGGTTGACACCGAGACTGAAAGCGGTTAAACGGTCTCTATTAATAGGAGAAGAGGAAAACCATTCCAGTCGCATGTTCAAATACATCAACGTTAAGAACGCTCTGCAACACTTTCCTTCTTTGGAGCGTAGGGGCGTTTTCTTGGATCTCGTTTTGCAATATGTCCTCATTGACAAAATGGTACGAGCAATGAATGATTGCTCACTCCATAATGGCTATGTGGTTGAGGTTCCCAAACATCGACGTCGGCCTATTTACACTAACAAGTTCAAAGTACGTCAATCTCCACTAGTCTCATATACTTCTCATGCTTCATTGTAGGGATGGTCCCCATTACACGATTGGGTCAAGCTCGTCACCCAATTCAAAGCTAAATTCAATCAAACTTCCCTCAATACGGAATTACCAAGCGAGACCTGTCCACAGTCGATAGAGCTTGGATTGATACAGTCTTTGTCGAAAACTATATCAAGAACCCAAGTACATGGAGCACTTGCAAACATAGAAGCTGCTGCGTTGTGTCTTCGTCTAGTCTGGAAGGTACGGGCAGCCAAGTTAACATATCGACGAAGGCTAAATGCTAGTAGGGTTATCTTCGTGTCAATGAGGAGGCACCGCAATCCTCTGATAATGAAGAGAGAAATAAAATCAAAAATTTCATAATGTATGTCGTTTCTTCTAACATAGTCATTAGAACATCATATCATTCTTGACAGTTCTTTCAACGACGGGCAGGTCGATTTGAAAGCGATCAATACACTTTTAAATGAAGCGCCCACTCTCCTATTTGGCATTGATATATGCACGTTTGTCTCACCGTTAGCATTGCTGACTACCAAAGCGTGGTATAACGGCGGGAAACTGGACAGGATGAAACTATTTCTCGTATGCCTAATTTTTGGACCATTGATACATATGTTCACATCAGTTATCGCTAGACGGGAAAAGCCTTAGGCAATCAAAAACCATCCCTTTTGATAGAGGTGGAAAAGCTCCTGTGGAAAGTGCTCTTGAACGTCGCGCAAGGCAAGATTGCAGCATGGAATGCTCTGGAACAATTCTTAATTGAGGTTCCCTGGGGTCGTCTTCAACAAGCCAATGAAGAAATATGTGGTTGGTTCAAGCCAGGTGTGTTTCTATTTGCTAGACTTTTCATTATTGTGATCTCATGTTTTTAGATGGCGACGGAGACGACAAAGTTGTCGACAACATGTACTGTCAAGATATCGAAGGCGCAATTCCCGTTGGTTGGCCACTGGTAGTAACGTCCGCACCTCTTGAACCTATTGACACGAATTTGTCCTCGTCGACGACGAAAACGGCGACCGATTCCGCTTCACCGATTGTAGAAGTCATTTCGTCCAAGGAAACTTCAAGCCAAAACCCTCCTATTCCTCTTGCAGAAATGGAGACTACAGATGCTAGTTCGGTCAACGCTCGCTTGGCGGATGTCCAACTCCACGAAACACGACCTATAGATCATGTGGTTACCGTTGAAAGCCGGGACGATCGGACTCCTTCGGCGACAGCATTGATCACTGGTTCAACCATTCCAGTTACTCCTTCTCAGTCTCAGCCAAACTCCAACGATTTGCAACATTACTCCCTTGCTGCAGCGATGGGTGGTATACACTTTTATGATAAAAACCAGACATATGCCTGGAGGGCGATGTGTATAATGCCTAGAGGTTCAATGAGATCGCATATCTCATTGTTCTAGGATATTTCATTGTGATTTTCATATGGATACCTGGTGCTTTCAATATATATTTCATTCTCAACCCCAGGATATTTCATTGCGATTTTCATATGGACACCTGGCTCTTTCAATATATATTTCATTCTCAACCCCAGGATATTTCATTGCGATTTTCATATGGATACCTGGCGCTTTCATTGGATATTTCATTGTTAGCCCCAGGATATTTCATTGTGCTTTTCATCTGAATGCCTGGTGCTTTCAATGGATATTTCATTCTTGTTCCTAGGATATTTCATTGCACTTTTCATAAATATACCTGGTGCTTTCATTGGATATTTCATTGCTAAACCCAGGATATCTCATTGTGCTTCTCATTTGGATGCCTGGCGCTTTCAATGGATATTTCATTGCACTTTTCATATGTGTACCTGGCGCTTTCAATGAATATTTCATTTTTAGTGGCAGCTGACCTTTCAGGGTCCAGGGTGCATTTCCAAATGTAAAATGGCAATAAAATCAGGAAAAATTAGGGCTCATTGCTGATCATCATG